TTGTGTGAAGTTTGAGTTGTTCTTGAGCGTATATATTTTACTCAATATCCACTCTAAAAGAGAGTATTTGTTCTTGAGTGTTTGGTGTTGTATACACGTTAAGGGAAGCTTGTTTCCCTTGGTCGTACGAAGGAAAGGTATTTTTCCTTCGGGTTGAAGTCTTGGAGTGTGGTATCTCCGAGCAAGTGTTGTTGAGGCTCGTTGGACTCGAGTTCTCAGGTTGTAACGGTTTGTTAAGCACCCGTAAGCTTAACGGAAGTAGTGTAGCTCGAGAGAGTCTCTCGGGAGACTGGATTAGCCACACGTTGTGGTGAACCAGTATAAATCTTGGTGTGCTCCCTTTACGCTTTCTACGCTCTTTACTTTTCACTTTCTTAATTTTTTTTATTCCTGCAATTTCTACGATCAAACGCTATTCACCCCCCCTCTAGCGTTGGTCACTTATTCTAACAAACCAGAGAGTTGTACTATTAACTGTCCAGCGAGGATGTACAAGCTATTAGAGCTTGATGAGAGTTAACAATGTTCTACATAGCGTATTTGAGGTAGCATGTGAAGCATTGGGTTTATTAACCGATGATAAAGAACTTATTGAAGGTATAAAAGAGATTGCTAAGTTAGGATTTAGGAATATGCTAAAATGTTGTTTGTCCACGTACCATGAGTCACCCATAAATTGTTTTGAAAAAATTATAGGTTCTCTTGGTGAATGAAATTTTATTTGATCGAATAAGAATATTTTGGAATCAAGGTACTTGAATATAAAGATAGTTTTTTAATGTATTAATCCATCTGAAACGCATTATATGAAAACAAAACTCTTTAATTGAGCACTGCATAGAAACAAATAATTCTTTTTTTGCAGAGCTTATAATCTCATGAGAAGACCTAAAGAATTTATGTCTTAATTGAGATTGAAAAGTTGCTTAATTGAAATGGACGACCTTTAAAAGAATTCAAGTGCATGCCATTTGGAGATGACAATCAACTTAATAGATATCAAAATAGTTTTTTGTTAGAGAAGTTGAACTATGACTAAGAAAAGTTGTCATTTAATCTTAGAGGATATTTATCTACAATGAATGAAGATCAGTCGAGTATATATAATGAAATAATGGAAGTCGTGATAGCTGAAAGAGGGAGTTCTTTTTTGTCCATGGTTACGGTGGAACTGGAAAAATATTTCTCTAGAAGTCATTGTCTGCTTCTCTAAGGTCAAATGGTAAGGTTGTAGCATTGCTTTTGCCTATGGGGAGGAGAGTCGACATTTTTAATCCATTTGGTGCTAACCGAGTGCTCATTTTGTGACAATAAACAATGGAGTCCGAAAGCAGACCTAATCCAACAAGTAAGTATAATCATATGAGATTTATCATCTACGATGCATATATTTTCTTTTGAGACATTAGATTATACAATGAGAGATGTAATGAGGTTCTCTAATAATAAATTCATAAATGAACCATTCACTGGGAAAACATTTGTACTCAAAGAAGATTTATCCAAATTCTTTCAGTTTTACTCATAGCTTTGAGAGAGGAAATTGTAGGTGCTACCATCAAATCCTCAGAAATGTAGTTGTATTGTAAATTTTATACGTTGATCAAAAATATGAGATTGCATTAATCTACACTCTCTTACACAGACTAGGACACATAAGCTTTTTCTGATTGGATATCAAAGTCAAAGATGGAAAACTTAGAGAAGTGATCGATGGAACTACTGACATTGAAATTAAATCCTTTTGCATTCTTGATTATTGAAATAAGTTATTCACTCAAGAGTTATAGTGGACTTCACTTATCCGAACCTATTAGAGAACATGAATTTTTTAGGATAGTGCACTATTAGCACTTGCACTCAAGTTTGTTGAATGGTAATGAATTTTTCATATCCATTATGTAAAGCTGATTTAAAAGTAGCTATTGAAGACAATTGGATATCACTTTAGTTTTTTTAATTAAATCAAATATTTGGGGATCCTAAACCACAAAATAGTTTTTAAAAAGGGGGTACTGACTATATCATTGAAGAACATTGACTAAATATCTAGATTGTGTAATGATAGAAGATTAATCGTTTAGAAGTTGAGAAAGAACATTATCACTACAATTGAGGTTTCATGAATTCAATTGAGAAAAAGATTTTCATACCCCGAATGAATTTGGTATCATCTGATTCAAAACTACCTAAGAAATTCTAGAGAAAATAATTCTCAATAGTTTTATATTTTAATATGACTATTAACAAAAGTTAAGGTCAAACATTGTCTTTTGTTGTATTATTTTTAACCAATTTAGTATTTAGTCATGGTTAGCTATATGTTACTTTTTCACGAATGAAGGCAAAGACATGATTACAAATATTGGTTCTAGATAACAATGGAAACCTTTACAACCATACCAAAAACGTTGTGCACCCTAAAGTCTTTCAAAAAATTGGAATTAAATAAGGTTTTTTCGAGTACACTTTCATTTCCTCAAATATGATTTATTCTAATGTTGTCGTTGTGCATTGATTAAAAATTGTGTTAGAAATATATTTACTTGATTCCGGAGAATATATTACACTAAAAAAAATCGAAATCGACAAAAATTTTGAGAAAAAATTATCTACAATAATTCCAACTTTACCGGACGGCTTGTTTTTTTAAAAATAAGTACACATTAAGACTCCGTATAGTGTGTAAAATGTTAAAACCCACCACTCCGTATATATATATATATATATATATATATATATATATATATATATATATATATATACAAAATGCGCCGCATCCATCACTCTAGGGTTCCATCCCGGCGGTGACGCCATGGCATCGGCGACTACCGAAACTGCTCCAATCTACTCCAGCGATCGTCCCTCCAGTTGCTTCACGCTATTTTTCTGATTCGTTGGTCTCTGGTGTCAAGAACCCGTCGAGATTCAAAGGACTCCCGTGCGTTTCCTTCAACGAAACCGAGCTGCGCAATCTATGTCAACAGTTAAAAAGAACCCTAGTTGGTTCCTTTTGCTCTGGATGGCCATCGATGACCTTGGTTAGGACATCTTTTGAACGAATTGGTTTTTCTTCCACTCCTAAGGTATCTCTCCTTGACTCTTCTCATATACTCATTACCTTCTCGGAGGAGAAGGACTTTCTCCTATGTCTTCTCCGGAGGACCTGCACATCTCTGGTTACAAAATGAATGTGTGTCGATGGACCTGTGATTTCGACCCTTCTATCGATTCACCTCTTGCTCCTGTCTGGATAGGTCTAGAGGGTCTCCCTCTTCACCTTTTTGAACCCAATGCCCTTTTTTCTATAGCTAACCTGGTGGGTCTCCCCCTCCAAATGGATTCTGCCACAGTGAACCTTACAAGACCCTCCGTGGCAAGGGTGTGTGTCGAATTGGACCTGACTAAAGATATGCCTAAAGCAGTTTGGATTCACCTTGGTCAATTATCCTTCCTCCAGCCTATTACATACGAAGATTTGCCTGAGTATTGTATTTCTTGCCGGGCTATAGGCCATAAAAAGTGCAAAACTCCTAGGAAATCTTCTAGATGGTTTAGGAGGGAGGGTAAGCTATCTAGCAGAAGCTTGAATGATTCTGTAAAAGTTTTGGTTCCTGAATCTGGCGGATTGGGTGCTAATTCTGTTATTGCCCATAATGCTCCTAATCATGCTGTTGATATTTCTGCTGCTCCGAGTTTTGCTGATGCTACTTTTGCTATTCCTAACTCTTCAACTAAGACTCCTGTCTCTACTGATGCTTTACTTGAAGGTCCTTTGCCTCTTGTACAAACCTGCAGTGATGAAAATGAGCAGGCTAAGGATCCTACCATCCTAATTGGAAAAATTCAATGCACCAAGGATGCTTCACTACTTGTTCCTACTGTTGCTGAAAATCTATTGGGAAAGGATGTTGCAATTCCAACTGATCCCCTACTGTCTGGTCCTGTGGTTGCTGAAAGTTTCCTGGGAAAAGATGTTGTAAGTCCAACTGATCCCGCGCCACCCCTAACTGTTTTTGTGGAAAGCACTGTACTCCACAGCCCCCCCTTTGTCCCTTTACCTGAAGTTGTCCACACACATGTCCCCTTAATTGCAGATTCAAATGTCCCTGATGCTTCTGATGCACACAGTACACTCCGAAAGGATGTACTGGATGGCTCACATGACAATTCAGTTTGTGGGGATGATGAAATTATTTCTGACCCAAACATTCCCACTCAAAACCGTTTTGTATTGTTAACTGACCCTATGATTACTGAGATTTCTGAACAGGGCACCCCTAACTCCACCCCGCTCAAAAGCACACCTACAAAAGAGGAAGCTCACCATGAAATGTCAAGAATGACAACAAGAAGATCAAGACCACCCATAATTGAAGGCTTCATTGTCGACTGTGTGGGAGAACCAAAACTAGAATGCGAGGGATACAACGGGCCATTTCTCTTCCTAGGCCCTCCAGGATCACCGAGGGAAGATGGAAAAAGGCCACGAACAGCAATACCTACCAAAATCTCACCTCATACCATGGTGAACGTGTGAATTTAATTTTGGGATGCGTCCCTTGTTACCTTGTATCATTTGTCTTTCATTGCTCTACCACTTTTGGGTAGACTCACCCATTTCCTTTTTGGAGCGTTTGCTCCCTCTTGTATGCCTTACTTTCTCTTTAATAAAAACTTGTTTTTTCAAATATATATATATATATATATATATATATATATATATATATATATATATATATATATTATTTCTTACCAGTTTTTGTTTAATTTCTATTGATTACATTATTTATTTGATTAATTTTATATGGTTTTAGTTATTTTTTTCATTTTCATTATTTTTTATATCTATTTTTTTCTAAGGTAAGAATAATCTTTAAAAAAGAAAAAGAAATGGAGGTTGAAAGTAATTCAAAAAATTTAAATAAAAATTTCAAAAAAAATTAAAAAACAAAAATTCATCAAAAGTAATCCCAACTTTCATTTTGTTGCTTAAAACGGGCATTTCCGTTAACCGTCCGTTAGAAACTTAACGGCGACCCAAAACTGGCAAATTTCAATAAAGTTGGGATTATTATGCATCACAGTGAGAGGTGAGATTATTTTTGAAAAACCGGGTAAAGTTGAGATTATTTTGGGTAATTTTTCCTTTGTGTAATGTGATATTCTTTTTGGGACAGTGGGAATACATTTGTCCTGTAATCAAAAGACAACAAATCTCTTGATTTTAATTATTTATATTTGACCTGTACAGCCATGCCAAAAGAAGTTTGAATAAACTTAAATGAATCGGAAACACTTGAAGGAGTTGGAAATCTTGGAAGAATTCGAAAAACAAGAAAAAGTTATCAAGAAATCGAAAATGTTGGGAAAATATTGGAAATTAAGGGTGCATTTGTTGGGGTGGAGTATGTTTTTCTAGAAGGAAATGATTATCATAAGACCATGTTCTCTCCAACATATTCTTATTATTTTTTCTTATTGGAATCAATTCAGATCATATAAGATAAGATTTATGAATAGCTTTAAATATAACTACATCCAAATCAGATCAGAGCAGACCGTATTAGAACTTCAATCGGATGAAAATCATTCCGATTAGGTGAAGTGAACATGACTTTACACGAAAAACTAATCTTCCACCTCACCCAACATGTTTTCCTACTTGGTAGGGATAAAATTTTAAATTATTTTCTATTTTTTGTTAGGAAGGGTTTTTTAAAATGAATACGTTGTGGAATTTTTAGTGTTATTGTATCTTTTGCAATGTAGTATCATTTTATTTGTACATTATTGATATTTGAATAAAAAATAAATATACTTTGAGATAATTTTAAAATAATTTAGGTAGCACATCTAATTTATTTTTTATATACGATCGCTACCAAATTTTTATTATAGAACTCCTTTGTTTAAGGTTTAGGTGAGGCGTGGGAGGACGGGTGAGGGAGTGAGTGTGGAATGGCGGATGTCTTTTACTTTGTTCGTGAAATCAGAGCATTAGAAAAATTATTAGAAAAGTGAACTTTTCGTCCAATGCAAAGAAAAACCATTTTTCTCTATCTAGAGAAATATTTTTCCCTCCACTCTGCTAGATGTTTGGTCAGTGCTAATGGGCCCTGGGGATATATTCATCTTTTACAAGGGAAAAACATTTTTTTTCAAAAATAATTTCCTACTACATACGTAATCAAACGTAAGATATTATAATTAGAATCTTTTAGAAAAATACTTTTCTTCCAACTAACAGACTCTAAGAATTACAAACAATAAAGAACAAAGCCTTAGATAAATTACATAATAGAACAAAATTTTATATAATCTCGTGCGTCGCACGGGTCAAAATGCTAGTCCCCAAAAAATGGCACACTTCAACCCACAAAATTTGTCTTTATTTTTATACCAATTTTTAAATAAAACGAACTGAAAGAATTTAAAATTTCAATTCATTTTTGCATAATATGATATTCTTTTTTTTGGACGGAAGGAATACACCTGTCGTGTAATCAAAAGACAACAAATCCCTTGTCTTCAATTTTTTATATTTGACCTGTAGAGCCATGCCAATCACTCTTCAACAAGTCCTGTAAAAACATTTCAACCACTCACTTTTTATTTTTCAATATTTTCTTAAACCTTGTGTAAATAAAATGAGACAATAAAATTGGGACGGAGGGGTATTTTTTTTAGTTACTAGTATTTTGACCCGTGTCATGCACGGGCCGAACAAGTTTTTTTTCGATTCTTAATTTTTTCCATGTAATATTTTTGCGGATTAAAGAAAATAAATTTCTTTCATGATTTTTAATACTATATACATTAACATTAAAGTAGAATAAATAATATTTGAAGAATTGAAAGTATACAAAACAAAGACTTATTAAAATCCAAAATTTTGAAAGACTTCAGGGTATACAACATCTTTGGTATGGTTGCAAGGGTTTCTATTGTCATCTAAAATAAATATTTTTAATCATGTATTTGTCTTCACTCGTGAAGCAACAATATAAAATTCACCATAAGTGAATACTGACTTAGTTTAAATAATCTAACAAAAGATAATGTTTCACCTTAACTTTTGTTAATAGTCATAACAAAACATAAAACTATTGGAAATTATCTTTTTTGAAACTTTAGGGGTAGCCTTGGATCATATGGTACCAAATTTATTCGGGGTATGTAAACCTTTTCCCCGTCTCGATTTCTCGAAACCACGATTGCACGGTTAACGTTTTTTTTGCAGCTCTTCAACAATTCATCTTGTACCATTAAACAATCCAAATAACATAATCGGTACCCTTTTTTTCAAAACTATTTTTTGGTTTGGGATCCCCGAACATCTGAACATTTGATTTCATTCAAATATTCAAATGTTATCCAATCTGCATCAACACCTACATTGGCATTTGCTTGTCATTAAGAATCAAAACTCAAGTACTCTTTTTTCATCACCGAGAATGAGGAATAGGACAAACTCATTAGCCATTTCAACAACTTCGAGAGTGGGTGCTAGTGGTGCCCTATCTTAAAAAAAGAATATTTTTCATATTCTCCAATAAGTTGAGATAAGTGAATTCCAGTACTATACTCTTGAGAGGATAACTTATGTCAAGAATCAAGAATCTGGGCGGAATTTCAATGTCAACAATTACATCAATCACCTAACCAAGCTTTCCATCTCCAATTTTGATTATCAAATTAGAAAAAGCTTGTGTATCCCTATCTGCGTAAGAGGACATAGATTAATGCAATATCATATTCTTGGTCAACGTAAAAACTTTACAATACACCCACAATTTTTAGGAATTTACGGTAGCATCTACAATTTCCTCTCTCGAAGCTTTGGTAAAATTGGAAGGATCTAGCGAAAATCACTTTCGAGTACTAATATTTTCCCTCCAAATAGTTCATTTCTAGAGTTATTATTATAGAATCTCATTATATCTCTCATTGTGTGATCCAATGCCTCAAAAGCAAATCTATTCATCACACATTCTTCATCTCATACGATTCCACTTGCTTGTCATAATAATTCTGCTTTCGGACCCCCTTGTTTGATAGCACACGTTGAGCACTCAGTTAAAGTCAGAGGGATTGAGAATCTCGAGTGTGATGTCCTTCCACCAGGCAAAAGCAATACTGCAATGCCACTGGATGCAACATTCAAAACAGCTTTACATATCATTCGATCTTGAGAAGTAGACATTGGTTTCTATATAAATGTTTTTCCAAGTCTCCCGTAACCATATACAAAAAAAGAAACCTCCTCTTTCAGATATCAGACTTCCATTATCGCATAGATATCTTACTTTAATCTTCATTCATCGTAGATAAATATTCTCTAAAATCAGATGACAATTTTTCTTTGTCATAATTCAAGTTCTCAATCAAGAAATTATTTTGAAATTTATTAAGTAGACTATCATCTGGAAATGGCATACCACTAAACTCCTTTAAAAATGTATAATTTTGATATTATTTTCTAACTTTTCCTTTACTTTATAATAAAGTAAGGTATGATGTGCAGGATAAATAATTTTAGGGTGCACCTTTTTTCTAATTTGAAAAGTTTTATGGGACGCCTTTCTTTGTATTTGAAAAATTTTATGGGACGGATGTATAGTAGTATAATTTTCTTCAAATACTTAAGGTTATTTATTTATATTAGGTTTCCAAAAAAACAATTTACTTAAGTAGTCAACATTGCGTATGCATTTTTTACAAAAATATCTCTAATAATTCTAAAATTAATCTCTTTTAAATTTTTTGAAAAATACAATTATATCAATTATTTTCGTTGGTTTAACGCATTGAAAGTATTATTTCATTCTATGAATTTTGTTTTAAACATATTAATAATTCTCAACAAATTCTATGGTGGATTTAGTTCTGCCATGGACCTAGCTACATATGTGCAAAATAAGTATTTCTTTATTACTTAAATAAGCATTTGTTTTTATAAATAAAAAAATTTTAAAAAATATTTTTTATGTGAGAAGATCCACAAAATTGATATGCACTCAAAGTGCACCAAAGAAACACTCATGATTTTCTCTCTATTGAACATTATGATTAAGTGTCCACTTTGGATATTGTAATTTTCTCAGTTAAAAAATGCCTAGAATCAAATTTTTAATTATTTTTACAATTATCAAATGTTAGGCGTTAGAATACACAATAAAAAAAAGATGAAAGTAAACTCAAATGACAGTAATAGTTAGGAAAGAGAATTGAGGTAGAAGTCAAAATAAGTAATTTTGATACTTTTTTTATATTTTACTTCTATAATAGTCTTTCTCTTTTTTAACCTTTTCAATTTGTTCTAACTTAAACGTATTATTATTATTATTATTCAATGGAATAATTAATTTACATAAAAAATAAATTAAACATATATTATCAATAGAAAGAACCATGCTGTTTTTTACATTGTACTCATTATAATCAATCAAAATACATTCGAAAAAAATTAACAATTACTCATAATAATCTTCTTATTTTTCTATTTCGTAATTATATTCTAGTCGCCGTATAAGGTATATATTAGAAATATTAATTAGAATTGGATCTTTCTATATTTTAATATAAAATTGCCAAGTCAATAAAGTCATCAAAGGTGGAGGATGAATCATAAAAAAGTTTGCCAAGTAGACCCGCCACATGTCGACATTCTGTGAGCCCGAGTCTCAAATATTATTATAAAGGATTCCAATACTCTAATATTACTTCTAGCCTATTTACTTTCATCCCAAAATAATTGTCTCATTTCGTAAAACATGCAAAATAACAAGTATTAATTACATATTTTAAAATTATATCGAGAGTTTTACTCTCTCCATTCCTTTTAAAGTTCTACATTTCTTTTTATGTTTATCGCAAAAAAGAGATGTGATAGAGTCACAAACAAAATGATACAAATTTCACAAATTTACTTCTTGTGGACGACTTCATTAAAATTAGTAGTCTCAAATAATTAAAGAATTAAATTTTGAATTTACAATTGACAAGGTTATGAAATTAGTATATATCATTTATATTCGTGACTAGCACATTTTAGAAATCACCCTAAATAGGACTAAAACATAGAGAAAAATATCAAAATAGGACTTTCATGTTTTTTTCAAAAAATAGGACTTCGCACTGTGGTAATGTGACACAGTACATGTGCACATTATACATGTGCACATTACTTTACTTTTTGGTAATGTATATGACCATGTTTGGTAATGTAAATGCATATTAAGTCCTATTTCGAGAATAAAAACATGAAAATCCTATTTTGGTATATTTTCAATGTTTTAGTCCTACTTTGGTCTTTCTCCCCTAGCATTTCTCCTCCAAAATATTTTTTTCTTTATGAAAAAATTTATGGTTTTCAAATTTCTCTGTAATGCCCTAATCCGTCCTGGTCTGCAGCCCCTTTCGGATTAAAGTATTAACTTGGTAATTGTCAAAATTTAAAACATTTCAAACACTTTTATTTATCGCAATAATGTTTTTCATAATATAAACAGTACGGAGTTTTCAATATTGCGGAAGCTTAACAAATCATAATCACAAACATAATTTATTTATGTTCTTTAATTCAAAACCATCAGATCCATTCCGATAATCTCGCCTCCGTCGGCCTCCAGGATCACGTCACTTTATTCTTTCTATTAACCTGCGTGTAGCAAATAAAACATACTACACGCTTAGCGTTGAAGCTGAGTAAGCATATCTAATGCGTCGAACATCCATATAAACTGAATCTGAATTCATAATCAAATCATTTGATATCATGCACATAATGTTCATTTCAGATATTCAATAATCATTAGTCAATATTCATCATTCATTATTCAACATTTATATTCACATTCAACGTTCATCATTCTTTCATAATATTCACAATATTCAATTCAATAAGCATCATTCAATATTCATTCATATTCAATATTAACATTCGACAATATCCTTAAACTGTTCTTAGTCTCAGGCCAATCACTTTAATGTTTATCAACCCTTAAACGAATTTTAGTTTATGATAATTAAACTATATTCTAGTTTAAGGTACTCCTAAATAATCCTTAAGCTAGGCCTAGCTAGTTTAAGATAAAAAGGTCTTCAAAATCTTAAACTTACCTTCACTTAAGGCCAACCAGAAACAGACAGCGTAGTGTTCACTGTTGGGTGGGTGGTACCCCAAAACGAGTAGGTACTCAAGTTTGGTTCTTGGATCCCGTACGTACGTTTTAACCCTGGCCACTGGGGTTCATACCCGCAAGGATTAACTTAAATGGGTATATCTTAGAGGTCTTCTAGATACCTTTCAAATCAACATTAATATGAGTATATCTTAGAGCTCTTCTAGATACACTTAACAATACATATTATTTTCACAATCATCAATATATTCATTATGATCTAATCATTCACAATTATCATTTTTTAATCGGAAAGTTCATCAAGATTTAATCATCATAATCATCAATCAATAATCATTACCATAATCATCAATCAACATAATATTTAATAACAATTGGCGGCTTAGCTTCGGGTGTTAACACCCTAACTTACCGTCATGCATCACATAACATTTTTATTTTTTAAAAACATCACTTTTATTGAGAAAAATCATTTTTATAATGATCATAATCAATTGTGTTAGCCTTGGTTTGCCAAGCCTCGTGTTTTGATGTTAACTAACAATATAAGAGTTCAACGTTTGTTTAAGTGTTTCAGGTACAACAAGAATCCATTAAAATTCAGTTCTCAAGACTGAAGTTAAAACACTAAACTAGCATAGAATATAGGTAGAAACCGATGTAAGGATATGATTTTTTATAACTATATTCACAAGCTCAAAAACACTCACAAAATATGTTTAAAACCCCTTTATAATCATTTTCAAACATCCAAAAGGTTTTAAACAAAATTGAAAACAATTTGGACAAAAATGAAAAAATTGTCAAAATGATCACTAGGTACCTAGGTACCATGAGTAGGTACCGTAAGGGGTACCGTGAGTCAATCTGAGAAGGTACCCCCTACTGTCAGCCCGGGACCCCCCTACCGTCAGGACGGGACACCCCTACCGGAAGGGGTACCATAAGAGGACAGATACTGCCAGAGAGTTTTGGCCCGGTACTTAGCTACCGTGACAGGGTACCGTAACCGTTGGAACACTATTCCTGATTGCTGATTTTTGAATTAAATTAACCCTAATCACCTCCCAACGGCTAATTTACATCTTCCACTATAAATATAGGCCTAATACTTCATATTTTAACAAGAAACAAAGCTTCAAACATCCTCCCTTTATATTTTAAAAGTGTTCATTCTTTTATTCATTATTTTCAATATTTTGGCTATTTCAAGAGCCTTAAACTCCTAATTTTTATACACACACTTTGAGCTTGTGTTTCTAGTTATATACTCTCATATTCATAAGTTTGAATTGTATTTTTGAGAGAGTATAATTTCCCTCTACACCGGCTAAGTTTTGTTCTTCATTTTTATATTCTAGCCGTTGTGTAGAATCTTTATTTGTGTTCTTCAAACACACTTTCTTACGGTCGAGAATAGCCGTTAAATTCTCACATTGTAACGGTTAAGGATAGCCGTATAAATCCTTGGGTAAAGGTTCAAGGATAGCCTTTGAAATCCTTGGAGGAACGGTAGAAGATAGCCGTTAAATCTTCGTTGTAAATGGTTCGAGATAGCCGTGGTGAAATCTCTGAGTGAATCCTATTGGCAAGGGTTGTTTTCCAAACTAGTGTGGTGCTTTGACAGAGTTCAAGAGACCGAGACTTAATGGATTCAGAAATCCTTGAGGAGGATCCTCGAGGTACTGGAGTAGGGAGTTCCCGAACCAGTATAAAATCGGTGTGCATTTTATTTAACGCTTTTATTTCTACGTTTTATATATATTCTTCCGCATTTGCCAACACCTTTTTTTATCAAACTCCGAAAAGTTTTCAAGCGCCTTATTCACCCTCCCTCTAAGGCGTGGACACAACGACTAAAACCGACTAACAAATTGGTATCAAAAGTACGATTTTAGAGCTCAAAAATAGGATTTTTGGGACATTTTTCTGTTTCTGGCGGTACCCGGTACGGTACCTCGGTACCGACCGCCACCAATCAGCCACCGTGAGGCAGTGGTCGACGGTAGGTGGCTACCGTGCCAGCGGTAGGTGGCTACCATGTAACGCCCTGAAAACCGTCTTAGTAGTTAATTGTTATTTTAATAAAAATAAATATATTATTTATTGACTTTAAAATATGAATTATTTGTAAAGTTGACCATTTTAATTAAAAATTAGATTGTCGTGTAGATCTCGTAAAATGGTGACCAACGATATATAATTTGTTAAATTTGAACATACGGGCATAGTTTTAAAACCGGACCGGACCGGGAACCAGTGAACCGGACACCAAACAGGTCCGGTCCGGGCATTCAAACCGCCTTTGACTATGAACCGGTGGGAACCGGTTAAAACCGGAGAAAACCGGCCGGTTTAACCGCCGGATCCGGTTTTTTCAAATCTTCATGAAGAATTTTAAAAAATGCACGCCTAGGGGTTCGAACACAAGACTGCATGGGAGTAAGGAGCCTCTCCAAGCCATCTCTGCAACAATGCTTCGTAGGAACTTTCAACTATTCATTTTTTATATTCTTTATTCAAATTTTTTATCAAATACTTTTTAAGTATGTATAGTTTCTTTTACTAAAATTCAAAACCCATTGAGGTAATTGATATGGAGTGCATATCACACAAATATTTTATATATATTTTTAAATACTAGATAAAATGTTTAAAAAAATTCAAATCACTTTTTGTTTCTAAGATTTTTTAAATAAGTAAGTTTTTTTTATTTAATGAAACAACTCAAGTAAATTAAGTTAAATTATAAATTTAGTAAAACATCAATTCTTTATTTATAAATAGAGGAAATATTATTTTATTAATCATATATTAGTTTTTTTAATTCAATGCCTTCACTGGTTTATTTATTTATTTATTTATTTATTTATTTATCTATTTATTAAAAATGTTTGAACCACTGGTTCGACCAGTAAACCAGTGAACCAGTGCCTTGACCGGTTCGATCACCGGTTCGGTTCTGAAAACTATGCATACGGATAATGCGTGGTGAGTAAAACAGACGTTACAATTCAATAAATGGAAGGGAAGGTTTCATGATACTTTATTTGGTTGAGAAAAGGGAAGGGAAGGTTTCATGATACTTTGTTTGGTTGGAGAGAAGAGGGGAGGGAATAAAATGAATTTAACACATCTTATCCATAATTTTAACAAACATAATTTGGCTATAATTGTAATATAAAATGTAAATGAAAACGTATTCCTAAATTGAATTGTCACTAATAAAAATCTATTCTTACTCTAATAAAATCTATTCTTACTCTAATATCCAATAACATGCAAAAAAAACATATAACTAAGTATTTTGAGCATATTCAAAAACATTTGAAGTATATCGAAATAAAATGACCTGTTAGAGCGAAGCATAATACATCTTCATTATCACTTGCTTCTTAATTGAGACCGGAGATTGGACTGCAGTCCTGAGCTATTCCAACTATATGCTAATTTAAGACATAAAAAAATTAAATTTCCAAAAAATTCCTATCATGAAAATAAAAAGAAGAACAATGAAATTGGAATATACATTTAAAAATGAAAGAATTTTGCAACAGAAAAAAAACCAACTACAATAGAAAATTGGAAGCTTTGAAAGTTGCAAAAAAAAATTAAAGAATAAATCCGAAACTGGACAAGTGTGGAAGAACAAGTTTTGGAAAAAATAAAAAATTGAAAGGGTATTGCTGAAAAATGGGAAGAATTTCAAGAATTGCAAGAAAAGTAAAAATCGAAAGAATTGCAAAAAAAAAAAGACACAAGAATTGGAAAAAAATTTGGGGCAAACCAAATTCATAGGGTATTGCTGCCATGGGCTGAAAAGTTAGGTATGAAGAGCCGATCGAGAATAAGAGAAGGTGTAAATCAATTTTCTTTATCCCAAAAAAAAACTAGACAAATTATTGGAAAATAAGAAAAGGTGTAAATCAATTTACCTAATGGAGAGCCGATGAAGAAGGAGGCTTGAGAGGGAGGATGATAGAGATGGTGCTGAAGGAGGATGATTCTATTGCGAGAGAACAAAGGCTAGAAGCAGCTTTTCCGTATGATAAAATGAAGCAGTTCCGGCTAAAAAATAAACCTTTCCTCCCGATTCGGAGGGAACGAAAATAAGGGGAAGGGAGGGAATTTGAGTCAAAATTTTAGGTTTCCTTCCCTCTATAATTTTAGAACCAAATAAGGGGAGGGATTTATTTTCCATCCCCTCCCCTCCAACCAAACACAGCCTAAATACATTCCTAATTTATTACGGAAAGTAAAACCCAACCTGTAACTCCTACTATCATTATGTTGTAATAATGATGATGATGATGATAATAACAATAATAATAATAATAATAATAATAATTTTTAATAATAATAATAATAATAATAATAATAAATAATACTCCCTCCGTCCCAGAGTATTTGTCCACTTTCATTTTTACACACCATCCAATACACTTCTTTAATCCATTTTATCTTATAATTTATATATTAAAAAATTATAGAAATTATATATTAATAATCTATATGTTAAGACAAATCAAACAAGATCACACATGACTATAATTAGGCTTACACATTGAGAGAATTTGATGAGTCAAAGTACTTAGATGAACAGTTCTAAAAGTCAAAAGTGGACAAAAACTGGGGGAAGGAGGGAGTAATAGTTAGAAGAGGAAACGTAAGTCAGTTTCCGGTTAGGATTGAGATTTGGGAATCCGAAGGACTCCGTATTTTTATATAACCTACGAGTCTTCTTCTTCAATTCCCACAAGCTACGAACCAAACCGACGGGAGAGACGCCGGAGTTCGCCAGAGTGAAATTCGCCGATCAACTCAGCCGGAAACAAGAGGAACATCGCCGGAGTTCTTCGTCGGAAGTTTTACGCCGATTCGAGGTGAGTGGTGGTTTCTTCCGTTAAAATTAATTCGTAGATTAGTATTCGTTAATATGTTTTCAATCGATTGACGTTGGATTTGCGATTCCGAGTATAGATTATGTTGAATGGAATTAGAAATCGTAGTATGGGATTTAGTTTTGTTCTTTCTCCGTTCTTCTGCCGCTGGGTTTCTGCCGGAGATGTGCCGCCGCCGTAGTCAGAGTTTGCCGTCGAGTCTCCCTGCCTCGCTGCTGTACTGCCGCAACTTAAGTTGCTGCTGCTGATTCCGGCCATGGACGCAGAACGGAGCTGCCTAAATTTGCTGGACCGCTGTTGTTAGAGGGGGAAGGAACCTGACACCTCAATTTAGATTTTCAAAATACGGAGTAACAATTTAGCCACATAATTTTCTATTTGCTTGCAATCAGGCCCTTTTAATACTTTGACCATAAAATTAAAGTAGTAAGCACAAACCAATCCAATTTTACCCAACTAATAAATGGTGATAACTATATGTTGAACTGAAAGTGTTAAATAGCTACCTAGTAGTAATAAGCTGATGTGAATTGAATTGACTGTTGGATCACTAATAGAATTGAGTTTAGAAATTAAGGTCATGTGGGTGACGTCGTTCATCCGGTGATCTCGAGGGTTAAAAACGTGCGCACGGTGGTCATTGACCCCTGGCGAGAGCCAGCGGGGGCCTCAACCCCTTCCATTGCGAGAGCTTTGGAGTTATGAGTGTGGGTTTGGGCAAGAGCCTGGATTCCATTACTCCCGTAAGTATGAACTGGATTATATCTAGCGGGCAAATGGAGTAAGTATGCGTAAGAACTAAACTGAATTATAAGGGTAAATAGTGGCACAGTTGGATAATGATATTTGTTGATTTTTCTGACATTGTTTGATTATATATTAATGGGTGCTAGTCTATGAATTAGTTTTAGCGTTAGATGCTTCCACTCTCCCTATTTTTACAGGTAAGGGTCAAGGATTAGACGAGGAGCAACCTGGAGGACAGTGAAGCGTGACGCTGGTGGATGGCCCGAAGCTGTTTGAAATTGAATTGAATACTTGTTGACTTTTATTTTGTTAAATTACAAGAATGTTTGGCGATGTTGTTTTAAAGGCTTCCGCAACGTTTGAATTATTCACTCCGATTATTTATGAATTGTTTTTAAATAAATGTGAATTGATATTTTATTATTAAATGTTTTTGAAACATTGTGCATGTGAATACCAAATTAGTAGCAATCCGACTCGCTAACTCGTTGGTTCGGATTACGCGGGTTGGGGTGTTACATACCATCCGGGCGGTAGCAAGGCCCCGTTCTGTGCGTTAACTTTAAACAGTGTCATCTTCAACCTCGGGCCAAGTTTCGAAAATTCCATTTTTAGTCGCCAAACTTCAATTAAACTATATAGAAATGTTCTCCAAGGTTCATAGATCATTTTGGCATCATTAGTTCGTAGTTTTAACATCAATTTCAAGGTTTATTTATTGGTTCTTCAAACATGTAAAACACAAAACTCAACCAAACGAGCGTTTATGAACGTAAAAACGATCTATACGAACATTCTAGTCACTAGATATATCTACGGGCTTACCTCGAAGGTAAATGAAGGTTTTGATGATTTTCCGGCAAAACTTCCAGCGACGATAACTCCCAACTCCGGCGACCTCTCGCCAATATGATAGCACCACTGTGTTCTCCTCACTCCGAGCAACAGAATAGATATAAGAATTGTAAGAAATGGTGGAGAATTGAGGGGATGAAGGTGGTCTTATATAGGGAAGGAATTGAGGAAGAGACCAACGCTGCTGATGAACATTTCCCTGTTTCGGCGACTGAGTGGAGCGGGCTGCTATCGTTCTCCGATTCTAAACGTAAGTCCCTAATTGAGACTAAATTGGTCCCAGTCGGGAAACACTTTTTGGTCCAACTTTCTCCGAATTAAAATCTGTTTTCACCGTTGCGATCGTACAATTAAACTCTATCCAATGATATAATTTTCATATTTATTTGTAATACTTTTTCCGACATCATATTTTTGAGTGGTTGACTTTGACAGAGTCAAAATTGATTTATTTGACCTTTACTCAAAAAGGTTCTTACATTCCATTCATATGATTTATTTCAATAAATTATTTCAAAGTTCATATCATAAACAAATTTCTTCATTTATTCTTAATTTTGGGTATGTACTCTGGTTCCCAAATTAAGATCATACAGTAAGTCAACATATTGGATTTATCTCTATGAGATTTATCCAGATTATGATATTGGATATCAATATACGGAGTATGTTTTATTTCGGCCCAAAGCCCAACAACAATTTATTTTAATCAAAAAAAATTTGATTAATTGAGTAATTATTCATTAATAATTCTAGGTTATATTTTGGGGCGTTACATTCTCTCCCTCCATATCACTATAAACTACATAGTTTCAATTTTCTTAATCACCATATCATCTCAAAGGTGAAAAATTTTTGAAAACAAAGCGAGTATAAAAGAAGATGTAACAATAATAATAGGGTGTTGCTAAATCTACTCCTCTTTGCTACATTTGCACCATTGGTTACTAAGGTATTATGTTCCCCTAAAAGTGTAAAAAAGGAAAGTGGACATTTGCACTTAGCTTAAGGATGTACTTGTTTAATTTTTATAATTGGGGTGGATTTAGTGAAATGTGGGGGTGTATTTAATTTAGCAACACTTTACTATTTTATTTTTTCAAATAATTAATGAAAATTTAGAAAATATATAAAAGTTATCGGGTTGTCAAATAATAATCGAGATAAGTATTTAGGGACGCAAAGAGTGTTAAATGCTCATAACAAACTAATACTCCGTATATGACTATATTTGAAATTAAAGTAGAGTAAACTCTATAATTGATTATTTATAATAAAGAGCTTTCTATGTCTGTACCTTTCCATTGGATAGCCCCTTTTTGGGTTTTGATGGTGTTAAATTGAGAATTAAAAATATAATTTTAAATGATCATATATATCTTTCTTGTCATAGCAATGTCAGAGATCGCTATTAATACGTCGTTTGTCAATTAGAGTCACTCACTATTCCAACCATAATCTATAGATATCCGTAAAAATGGATTGTTCGTAAAAATGTATCCATAATAGAAAAACCAAGATCAAAATATTTGATATCAAAATACTCCCTCCGTCCTAAAATTAACTTCTCACTTTCCTTTTTTGGTTGTCCTAAAATTATCTTCCCATTACTTAAAATGGCAAGGCTTACTATGGTAGATGACAATAATGCCCCCATCTATTTATTCTTTCCTTTTCACCCTCAATTTCCCTCAGTGGTTCAATCTTCCCCATATCCCCACAGTATGTTTTCTTCTCCGATCATCTACCTTTTCTTATCTTTTCTTTTTGCTTAATTTTCTTGATTCATACAAAAAAGGACCGTTAGACCCATGTCTGCTGAAGAGTCCCCGCCCAAGAAAGTATTATCGAGCTTCCCCTACCTGTCGTCTCTAAAAATTACCAAGTATGCGCCGCCGTCTCTATGGATTATTGAACAGTCGCCGCTGTCTCTATAAATTATCGAGCTTCCATCGCCATCTTTGAGGAGGCTTTTCCCTTTTAGATCTAAGTGATAAATTCAATCTGCAAGAACTCTGTTCTTTTTTTTTTGCTCGACGAGACATGCGATTCTTTGTGGTCTTATTTGGGAGAATTGATTTGAGGAGGACGTAGATATGGAGAACTGAAGAACCAATTGAATTTCCAAATGGAATTTGTTTGATTTGGAGAATTTTGAATTGGGAGTGAAGGTTTGGGTGCGGATGAATATAGGGGTATTTTGGGAAAGTCAATGTAATTTTTACACTTCCTTAAAAATCACTCCCGGTCAAAGTGGGAAATTAAATATAGGACGGAGGGAGTATATAATATTATCATATCATTTATTTTAATATCCACAACGACAAAAAAACTCATTGATGCCAATGCCATATATAGATTGACTTCAAGAAAGCTATTGAAAGATCTTGGAGCCTAATATAAGTAAGAATCCGATTCTGAAGGTGCAATTTTAATCAAACCAATTATATAACTCAATTTCCTCCCCCCAATTGCACAAATGCAAACGTTTTTTTGTTGAAGTTAGAAGAGAACCGAGACCTTCTGGCGGAGAACGGCGGAGACTGGCGGAGGTGAAAGAAGGCCGCCAAATATTATTCCGTTTGTTTATTTCCTCCTTCAATTCCCTCACCGATTTATATCAAACTATTCCTTTTCCTTTATAAATGATAGACAGAAACAACCAATTGCTGAGCTCAGCCCCACGATGTGTATACTTGGAGTAGACCAAGTTTGTACCACGCCTTGCACACTAAGCGTATGATAGACATCTTTAGAAAAAATGTTTGTGCACACACTTAGGCTTTTTGGCAACTTCTGAATAGGTAAGTGCTGAACCTGTAAGAGGTCCGAACCAGATACTTAATCATTCAGAGACAAAAGTCTGAACCATTCAGACATCTGAACCATTAAGAGACTGAAACAAACAATCTGAACCATTAAGTAGTTGAAACAAACGGCCCTTGCAAGGCATGGTACACGCATAGTGCATCCAATTTTTTTTGTTAAACATAATTCTCACTTTTTAGTGTCATTTTTATTTCAGAATTAGAGTATCTTTTTGAATTATTTGTCTCACTCTCCTTTTCAAATGTGGTGTTTTCTATGTCTATAAGTTGGTCAAAATTATTTATGAGTCAAAAAAGCAAGTCTTATCAATTTATTTTTAAACTATTTTTTTTCCGTTTAGACTCCATTAATTATAAAAGTAAAATTTGTTGAGTATAAGACTAAAACATACTAGTTTTCCCTATATAGGACTAATAATGTTTTTTTCCTTTTCTAAGACTATTTTTAAAAAAAATTCCTTTCCTGCCCCTAAATTCTAGGCGATTACTTGTGTGGAAAAAACCAACGCTCCTTTGTAGTTTTTTTATCTATAAATATTTTATTTACATAATTATGGGTTAATTAGCCATTATTTACGCCTATAGTTTAGGAAAAATATATATATATATATATATTACTCCACAATCCCTAATTTATCTCCCCTCATCAGATTTTGCGTTACCATTTTATTTCTCCTCGGCACTGCTTTCTTCTTGCTCCTCAACATATTTTGCTTTCTGTTTTGCCAATTTTTATTACTTTTAAAATAATACGGAGTATAATAATGTCATTTCTTGTTTTTAAACATTTTTGCTTAAGTTTTGTAGAACTTTTGATACTCCGTATAATTTTTATGTATATACTTTTATTTTTAAATTTTACACCAATTTTTTTGAAAAAGTGAATTGAAAACAACTTTAGTTAAACAACGTAACACGTAGCTGAAAACAAATTTTTTTATCAAATAAATAATAAAATTTGGCGTAAAAGTTCTTATTTCTATCTTTAAAAAAATTTGATTCATATTTTTTATTTATCTTTTTTTACTTCATTATTTTTTACTACGCAATTCACTCTTTTTTAAACTTCAGGTTGGGTCAAACTAGGACATTTCTTTTTAGAAGGGGAGAATAGTAAACATGATTTTTTAGTACATACTCCTTCCGTCTCTAAATAGATTGCAATTTTTTTCTCTCATCTCGATAACTTTTGTTTGTTTACGCGATTTCATTAAGCATTTGATAAAATAAAATATTTTTGTCACCTCTTATTTTGTAAAACTTTTGACGTAGTTTTTTAATATGTAATTTTTATATCTTATTGATATACCAATTTGTAAATAAAATAATTTCAAAAAGTAGGAAAGTTTACTTCGTAACCCGCAATTTGTAATCTATTTAGGGACGGAGGGAGTACTTAATTCTTGACGTAGTCTTTTAATTCTTGTTACATACCTTGATTCACGTGGTAGTAGATTATAATTCCATCCTTGATTATACAATCGTCTGAAGTCAATTAATCTATTTGTCTTCTAGGTTTCTATATTGTCCTTACCCATAAACTAATTTCATGGTCTCTTTAGTTTGAAGTCATTAGCTAATGTCCTTGTGGTTGTAAATTTACACTACATAGGTCATTATGTAGGACATTTTGAAGCTATTTTTACACTACATAGGTCATTTTTCAAGTAAATAGTATCATCATCTCATCACGATCAGCCATATAAATCAAATATCTTGTTACATTACAGATCA